CTCGGACCCAGGAGCCCTGCCACTCCCGGAGAACTGGCTGCCTGGGCGCAAGGCGCGGGGGGCTCAAACCCTTGTGGTTTTGATGGGGTTCCAGAAGCTGCATTCCTCACTGCGTAGAAATCACCTCATAACCACACTTCATTTAATGAAACAGGTTTTGTCAGACACAGTATTCTGTCATTGCTATTAGTAATGGTGACTATTATTGGAGTCATTCATATTAATGTATAATAACTGTAAGCATACTATCAATATAGCAATATACTATTGCTATACAGCATACTGAATTTTTATATACTCCTTTAAAAATGTTACCTTGCTATATTCTCCAAAAATAATAAATTATATAGAAACAAATCTATAATTTTAGTTTGCAGCTCAGGAATCTGACACAAGGAGCAATTACACTACCTAAGGTAACACAAATAAGATAGTGCAAGACAAGAGATTAAAACTCAAGTTTACGTACTCTGATGGATGAGCTTTTTATGATCTAGTGTTAGTGTGTCTGTAAAACAGGTTATTATGAAACTAATATTGAATCTTACTGCTAGAGAAAAAGTGTGTACACCATTGATCTGTTGAGAGGCTACACTGGAATATGCTGTAATAGGATGAAAGAACTGCTAACATTCAAATATGTGCACATGTGTTCTAAAATAAATTTTGATTTTTCTGGTAGAATTAACAATTTTTCTTTTATTTACCTGTTTCAAGACCATTGTAAGATAAAGAATCTAGTACATAAACTAAAGAAATAAATCAATCATTAAAAAAGATAGACCAAATGATAGTTTTATATCTTTTATTTGTGACATTTGAATTCTAAGCTCACAAAGAACTGATTTCATAAATATCTTTTAGCTTTGTCTCACTTTACTAATTGATTTAATTGTGTTAGTCTGTTTTTATATTCGAATCCTTAATTTAATCACAAACGGAACTAAAATATAGTCAACATTTTTTTCAGGCGTATGTAAAAATGATACAGGAAAACTTTGAAATCTGAACACGCTAGGCTAGTAAAATAGCTTGTTTCATTAGAAATGGACTCCTTCCTCTATGTTATATAAATTCTTATATATATATTCACGAAAAATCCTTACTCGGAATTAAAACCTGTCCAGAGGCAAATAGCCTGTTATAAAAGAGTTTTGTTGATATATATTTGAAAGCAGGAACATGATTATTATTTCCAAAACATACTTTGTTTGGCTAATTCTAGGAGAGACTCATCAGTTTCTTCAAAGCCCAAAATGATCAGAGCAAGCATGACAACAGCGTTGTCCTAATGATGCCTCTGCTTCCTTTTAGTGGCCTTGTGCCCGTCTCTTGCAGACACAGGCATTTGTATCTTTCCTACAATGTTTCTTTTTCTCTCAGTGTGACACCCATGAGGTAAGAAGGGGACACCAGGTAAGCGGCCACAGAAAGGCGTGTGCTGCCTCCAATGGCCAGAATGATGACTGGCACAAATCCCCACAAAAAGATGGGAGGACCTCTGTTTAAATTCCTCAATGTTTTCTCAAAGAGGTGGTTAAAGACAAGCACTACCACCAAACTCAAAACCGTCTAATCCGAGGAGGTATGCTGAAAGTGGGAAGAAAGAATAGGCAGGGAGGTAAGCCAAAACGATTGCATAAAATATAGTCAAGAATTTTGTGTGTAACTTAAAATAGAAAAGAAACATCTTCAGGTGCGCTAAGAAGCAAGCCAGGACTTCCCAAAGACAACCGAGCTTGAAGAAGGTAGGGGACGGTTTCTGAGCAGGCTCATGGTAGATGCAGGCACCGGGAGAGCTTCCTCCCTGAGCTACAGAAATGGTTCACAAGGAGACAGCAAGACTTCCCAGCGGGGGCGGCTGTGGGAGCGCTGGAAGGGACGGGAAGGAAGGCTGAGGGTCCACCGGCAGGCTACAAATATTTAACGGGTGTGCAACTAAAGCCTCTATTCTTATATGTTCACTTGTCCCATGTGCTCACTGGGCCTTTCCAAGGTGGGACCCTAGAAAGGATGGGCTGAAACTCACAGACGGTTCGGCTCAAGCTGACTGGGGATTCAGACCCTGCAAAGCCTTGGCAGGTTCTGCCAGAGCTGCAGTAGGATGCCCATGCCTGAGGCGGGTGAGCTGAGAGGAGAACAAGTTCGCACCCGCAGTGTTGCTGATGTGGTTTGGGAGGCAGAAGGAAGTGATTAAGAAATCTGCCAGTTTCTTCCATTGATTCTGGCTCTGAGACTCTGGGCTCCCAGGAATGAGGGAACACTCCGAGATGAGAATATTAACCACCTAAGAAGCAGAAAACCACTCTAGCTTAGTTTCTCTTCACCTGTTAGTTTTCATTATTTTTCCACTGAGTAGCTTTTTTAAGACATTTTATCCCTGATTAGGGATCTCCCTGACCTCCTCTGCCATTCCCTATGAACTTTTAATGCTATGTAAACACTTCATATATAGTTAAGTACTGTGGTCCTTGGAGGAACACTATCTGTTGTTGTATCTAAGATTTTCCTTAACAAGAATGCCCTCAACAAGAACACATGTTCTCTGTGATTAAACCATGGACCTGAGTGAGAAGTCACTGTGGGAGAAGCAAAGCTACTCAACCACGTAAGTTCTCTTGTCTAGGACACTTGGGTACTGTCTGCACCTGGAACCTCTTCCTGCTTCCCTCTCCTTTCATTAGTGGAAAGGTAAGATTTGGGTCACTGCTGTGTAACTGTAATGGGTATAACCTTTATCATGGACCTCATAATACGAAGAAGTGGATCCACACATGTATAGACTCACATGCTCTAAAATGCACGTATACAGATTTTCAGAGCTTAATAATAAATTATGGAACTCTATAATGATTGGATCAGGGAGATGACACCTGAGCACACTGATGAATCTTGAGATCACAAACACAGACAATTAGATATGATGTGTTTTCTGATAGCGTAGGAAGGGAACAAATGTAGTACTCTTGCCAAAAAACTTTAACCTAAATCTCATAATGAGAAACAATCAGTAAAACAAACACAAAAGTTCCAAATCATGGGATATGCTACAAACCAACCAGCCTGAACTCTTTAATGTCAGAGTCATGGAAGATATACCATATCATACACACACACACACACACACACACACACACAAACATATATCACCACGCAAGCACACCCACTAAAGGGGAACTGCAGTCCATTAAAGAAAACTAAGGACAATGGCAAGTTAATGCAGTGTGTGATTCTTGACTGGATCCTAGATTTAAAAGAAACAGAGTATAAAGAATATTTTTGAGACAACTGGAGAATTTTGAACATGGAGTGCATGCTAAGTATACCATATTTTTGCTCAGTTTCTGGGAGGTAATAGTGACACTGAAAATGGATTGGACAGTGTTCTTGTTAATAAGAAGCACTTTAAATGCTTGTTTAAATTCTTGTTAATAAGAAGTACTTTAATGAAGTACTTTAAAGTTTCTTGATGACTACAACTTCTTTTCAAATGGTTCAGCAATAGGAATATGTACTTATAGTATGAAAGAAAATGGGGCAAAATGTTAACGATCAATGCATCTAAGGATGCTTTTGCAATCTTTTTATATTGAAATTTCCACTTTGAAGTTTCTGAAAAAAGTAGAAAAAGGAAGTGTAGAGGGACAAAGTTAGGAAAGAGAAACACAGTTCCCAGCTCTGCCCCAGAGGTCTGGAGAGGTCCAAGAGAAGAGCCTAGACCCTCCATTTGCAGTAAGAGATGCGTGGAAGATGAAGGCAGGCCAAAGAGAAATTGCCTGTAAAGATTTTCAACAGAATTTGCCAAACAAAGCTCTGCTGTAATAGGAACACCCTGTAATTAAAGAACATGAACATTTTGCCAGAATTTACACTAGAAGAGTTGATTAGTGTATTTATCAATATAACCAGGAAGAAAGTGTTCTAAAAAGTTTAAAAATATTTGAATTTTTAAGTTGAGTGGAGATTTCATATACATCATTAATAGAAAATAACCTTAACAATTAATGACAAATGTTTTCAGAGTCTAACCTCTTACTTGATCAGGCATCATGGAAATGCAAGAAACATATTTAACTTCTTAAATGCAAAAATCTATGGTTTTCCAGGGTACAAAGCTACAGAGAATCTCAGAAGATGAGCTCCAGGCTGTCATTTCTCTCACCACCCCGCCTTCCCATGTGGTACTGTAGCGCTGCTAGGTCAGAAATGAGGGGCTCTTGTTTCTCTGGATCCTTAGGACAATAAGATATTCTTGCGGCCAAAAACGATGCTGAAAAAAAAAATCTCTGCCTATCTTGATTTCTAAAAGTTAGCGAGGGAAAATGTTTTATTTTTGACCAGAGCATTTGGACAGAGGTAGCAACATCTGGGTTCGAAGGGGGGACTTGTATGAGATGCAGAGGAAGGGTCAATCTGCATGGTTAGAATGATACCTGTCCAAACAATCAACCCTTTTTCAGTCTGCACAAAGGATTCATGATTACTAGGCTTTCATGGCAGCCACGAATGCCTCAAACATATGTAAAATAAAGCAAAGTCAGAGTTGTTTAGTTATCTTTTAACCGTTATTACATTAAAATGCACTAATACATTCTTATCTACTTCCCTCCACCAACTGGTACTGTGTTAAACACACATGTCATCGGAAGTATTATGACGCCCTGGTCACAGGTTGGGCTGTCAGGAACGAAGTTTTATGAGTGAATCAGAGAATGCACCATTTCATTAACCATACCCAGGTTTCAAGAGTCAGAATGTAGAACAGAGGCATTTTTTTGTGTACTGGAAGAGAGCAATCAGCATGGATGGTACAGGGCTATGAGCGCTGCCTCTGCTGCTGCCTCTCTTACTGTGGAGCCATTGCTAGGGCAGAAATTAATTCTGTGCCATGGTATAATGTGACAGAGGAGGAGTGTTTGGAAGAGAAACTAAAGGCAAGGACTGAGGGTCTCATCTGCTCACACCAAATAACCAATTGTCCTTTTATCACTGCAATATTAATATGTAGAGACGGTCGTGACTTCCCACCCGTTAAGAAAGAACAAACACTGCACTCATCCGGCTCAGGGCTCCTACTGGTCACTCTCAGTCATTTGTAACTTTGTTTTACTTCTCTCTTCTGGGAAATAGGAAGGAGCATCAACAGGACAGACAAGGGATGATGGTTATTATAAAAAAATACATTCTGATCTGGACAAACGTGTTAGCTTTTTGCTAACAACCAGGCTCTTCCCTACAGCTAGAATGGGACCACTGTTTGAGGCAGAGACCAACCAGCCCCTGGAGTGGTCCCCAGTAAAACAGCTCCTTAGGGAAATGGTACAACGCTGCCAGGTCCGGTCTCAGATCTCTCACAGTGCCACGGCTCTGTGCAGTGTTAAACCGCAGGGTCAGAGCAGGAGGCTTCACAGATCTGCAAGAAGGCTTGTTACAAAAAAACTTGCTGTGTGTCCAAAGTTCCAAAATTCACTCTGTACTTAGAAAACAAATGACAGAAAAGCTGGCCAGCTAACAAGACAGAGGAGTAAGAAAGGTACAAATAAACATCTCAGTCTCAAAACCTGAATTCCAGTAAAGCTTAGGTGGCAGGTCACAGGCAGAACTGTGACGTGCATGGAAGTGCCGCGGCCCCTCCTGGGCAGGTCCAAGGCGGAGGGGTTAAGGCTGGTTCTTCGGCATGCTGTGGTCCGCTTGGCCCGCAGGTCAGGCTAGCAGCACTCTGAGGGTAAGAGCACATGACGTGAGTAGGAAAGATCTCTCAGGAGTCCCCGCCTGCCTCCAGTTCTCTCGCCCGAGAAAGTAGAGGAGCCATTTCAGCCAGGAAGTCCACCCACTGTCCAATCAGGGCTCCAGGAGGCGTTTCTCTCTTCTGCAGGATGAGCTGCAGCGTTAGTGACACATTCTGCTCGTCATCTCTTTCTGTAAAGCAAGGGGAGAGGGACAGTTAGGGGACAGTCTGCGCAGAGCAATGGTTTGGTGAAAGATTCGGAAAACGCTCAGGAACTTCAGATCCTTTAAAAAACAGTTTGCAAGTGTGGCCCGAGAGCAAGGCTCAGCATGAGGCTGTGTTCCATGTCGTCTGCAGATTTCTTTCTTTTTATTAACACACTGCTTTAAAAACTTGCCTGTCTTGCACAAAATCCAACTTGCTTGCTTTTACTAAAACAGCAGCAACAACAAACCCGCAAGCTCTGGAGCCACTGAGCAGTGGTGCTGAAGGACACCTGTCTGCCTCAGATGAAGGACGCGCTCTGCAGTCGCCCCTGTGCCCACCGCTCCGGGTGTCTCCCCAAGCAGGGCCGAGCATCACTTGCCAGCTGATGTGATCACTGGATTTGGACTTTGTTCTTCTCAGAAGAGGGACTAACTGCTCTTTAGCCGAGTTTCAATCAAAGGTGGGTAAGTGAATAGCAAGTGTGTATAAGAAAAGCAGAAGAGAAGACAGAGCTCACGGAAATGAAGAACGTAGCAGTGTCTGATACGCAGTCACCCTGCCTTTCACCCAAGGATGCCATGCGCCTGGCTCCTGAGGGCACGCGCAGATCCCTGCCGTGCCATCCTTTCTCTTCTGGACAGGCTCAGCCTCTTGCCCTGTGCCCGCTCCTGCTACATCCTGTTTATCCCTCTTTTTTGTTAACTGTCATTTATTTTCCCAATTCAGACAAGATGGCTTCCACCTGTTGAGACACATGTCTGACCCTCTACTCCACCCACAGGGGCGGTGCCACTCCTTCCATCTGTATTTTTTATAACTGCAGGTTGGCATCGGACATTGTGGTTTGTACCTGTGAGTATGCATGGGCTCTGGGCATGTCTGTTGGCCTTCCTAGGCCGGGAGCTACTGAGTTTCAAAGAGAAGAAATGCTCATTGAGTTGTTGCACGTGCTTTCACCTTGGTGGCCCCCATCCCAATGCTGAGCATAGGGCCGTCACTCCTCTTTCATCTCTAAGAACAGTCTGGGTAGCAGGCTGAAAATGAGCCCTGAGCTATTCGGCATTTAGAGCAGAGAAGACTGTCATTTTAATGAGATGAATAAATTGCTTCCAAGTTCCACCTGCAGCAGGACAGACTTCAGCTGCTATTTCTCTTGCATGCTGACCTGGATCGCCCTAACTACAAAACAGGAAACAGCTGAGTCAGAGGAGCATGACGGGAAAGTGCCCAGGTGCTCCGAAAGCCTTTTTGTTTGAAAACCACACAGATGTGTTTGTTAAAGAAATACACAGTGCAGAATCTAGGTACTGTTATATCCGATACTATTACAGGGCAATTACATGCAAATACACATACTGAAAAATTAAGCGACGATTTATGTGTGCATATTGCCTGTACCATGTACTAGATGCCTGGGACAGGAGGCCGCTGTTCCCAAGGATCTACCTTCTGTTGGGGAGAAAGCGATGCGGACACAAGAAAGACACAGGGACCCCGGTGCACAGGAGACACGGGAAACCAAGCCTCCCCACACTTCAGCGCCACCTTTGCTGCACTTTCCCTCCCTGTATGAGCGCCTTGAGCTGTGGGATCTTACATAGATGTCTCTTTTTTAGGGCCATTTTTCTCTACCCCTGAGACCCTTCGCCATGGGAACAGTTTACGATTGATTTCATTGCTTCCTCCTGGATGCAGCCTATGGAAGATGCTGTTGGATCCGAAAAAGAAGGCCTGGCTCTGCTGTTTGCGGATGCATTCCCAATGCCTGGTGACTGATGTTCAATGAATGTTTGTTAATCGGAAAATGAATAGGCCCCACTGTCCTTATCCTCAAGGAGGAGGAAGTGATACTGACCCCAGAAAGTCATGGGAAGGTTAAATGTGCTAAGATATATATATAGAAAGAGACACAGTGCACATCCATTCCCTTTGTCTCTTCCAAGGGAAAGATGTGTTTCAGAAGCACAAACCTGGCAGCTGTCACTTCCCGCTGGGGGAGGAGGTGAGGGAGGCTATCTATGATAATGCACGCACTGAGACAGATCCGAAATCTAGAGCAGGCTGGTCAGTGGGGTAGGAGGTGAGACCTGACCAAAGATCTGCAGAGGTCATGACATGGACAGGTAAATAAGGACCCATGTAGCTGGGGTGAGGATGGAAATAAACCAGGACAACCCTAAAATGAATGTTGTTTGTTGCTTCCAAAGGTCCTTATATTTTGGTTAACTTTTGATGATGGAGATAGTAATGCAGTGATGTGGTATATTTGAGACAGAAAGAGAAGAAAATATGTTCAAGGAATGGACATGGCTTTAACTTTGTAACTAAGTATTTGAAGTGCATCAGTACTTTTAAGGAAAAAAATCAACATTTGTTAAGCACTATAAAGTGTCAGGTGCTTCCAGATGGCTATGTCATGTGATTTGCATGGAAATGGGATCTTTGGCAGAAGAATGCCGGTCTCAGAGCAGAAGTGATTTGCTCAGGGTAAATAGCTAAAACACAGAGCCTAAGCGGGCACATCAAGCGCAGTCCCAGTGCTCGCTGCCCCAGGGCTGCGACCTCACGCAACCTTGCCCTTGTAATCTCAAGAGGGAGGGTTTCCCCACTCCACTGTACTGAGGAGGAAACGGGCTTAGGGAAGGAGAGTAGCGTATCAGTCACCTCGAAAGAGGCAGGTGGGGGACTGAAATTCAGCTCTGACTGCAAAGGCCAGCTCTTTCCATCACTCAGTTTAAAACCTCTGCGACAGTCTTATGAACATGCATTCCAGTGATACTGACTTATATATTAATTACAGATGGTTGCAAGTCATTGCTGAATTTTCAAGAATGCCAGAGATATTTTTCTTCACTAAACTGATGGTAATTTGAATTAGGAATTGCATGGGTAAATGCTAAAACAATTCTAGCACTGAAGGACTATTGATACTCAAAATGTGGAAGAGGTTTTTGTTTTTTTCTAAGGAAGTCGGGGTGGAACTGTTTCACTGGGGATGGGGAATTATCCACAGTCACTGGGGTAGTCTCCGATGAGCAGGGCCTGCACTTTCCCCACAACAGTGCGCTGCTCAATTACAGAAAAGAAAACTGTTTCGTGGGATCTCGCTTCAATTCCTACATGCGAAGGATGACTGAAATGGCAGATTGGAAACTTGAAGACACTACAATTGGATTCGCCCTTCAAGACTACAGGCCCCAAAGCCGTATTCTAGCACTTCCCCACTGGGTGACGCCAGTGAGCTATTTAAAGAAACCACTAGCGATGAAAAACAAGTGGCTTTCCTCACAAAGCCTCCTGCAGGCATCCAGCGGGGCCACATTCCTTCCTCTTAGAAACAGACGCTTCAACAATCTCTACAGAGGAATCTGACATCTCTGGAGTTACTCAATGCTATATATCATCAGGTGTGCCACTAAAACCCCCGAATGATGCTTAAAAGTCTTCAGAGGTGATAACAATTTTGAGAGCTGTTCATAGAGACTTTTTACTGGGCTTGTACATGAAGATTTTTTAAAAATTTAGATTTTAAACAATGTTTTTTTCAGGAAGGAATAAAGCAGGGACTTGGTTGTGTCACTCAGTATCTTTTAGGTCCAGGTTCTACGCTGCCAACGAAACATCACATGCTCTGCAGCCTGGATTACAGGGCCGGGGGAGACAGCCAGGTCCCACCAGCCTCTGCTCACCTGCTGAACCCGCCATCCCGACCACCAGGCCGACCAGCCCGCTCCGCGTCTCCGGCAGGCTGGCGTCCGGCAGCTTCTCACAGGCTCCTTTCATCTGGTAAAACCCTCTGCTCTCTTGTGCCTGGAAATTTTCACAGCCTTCAAGATTCAGCTTTCAGTTCCCAGAAAGCATACTTTCTCGATTTGTCCGTCCCTCGCACGCCGTTTCCCGTCAGCACTGGCATTCACTTCCTTTCTGCCTGCATCTGAGAAGACCCCTACAAATCTGTGGTACATTAATGGGTGACGAGCCGTACTTTTTCTCCATGTCACACGCAATATACTGGTTTGAGCCAGTTTTTTTGGGGAAAAACACAAACCAAATGTCTCCAACATGATTTTTTCTTTGAGTAAGTGGAGCTATGTATATTTTCTATTTCTGATTTTAGATATTTCTTTTTCTTTTTCTTTTTTTGTTTTTTTTCCCAGTGCCGGGAATTGAACTCACAACCTCGCACTTGCCAGGCAGGCGCTGTGCTGCAGAGCTAAATCCCCAGCCCCAAGATATTTCTATTATATAACTTTTTTCTGATAAGAAGCAGGCTCAAGTCACTTAAAAAGCAGCAAAGAGGGAAGCAGAGCAACGCTCCAAATAAAATCATATTTAATTTTAGAAATGAAGTTAAAATGACTTTGCCTAGCTTTGCAGGGTTGGCGGAGGTGAAGGGAATCAGCTTGTCTTTTCTGTGAGATAACTGAGCTTCAGTCTAATCTCAGCATTTTAAAATTAGAAATGTTCTCCATTTGTTAGCTATGGCAAAAGTCTTTTGATATCCACAAAAGAAACTTTGGTGAACTCCAAGTCAGATGTTGCTCTAATCACTCAGTTCACCTGATCGTACAACGCTTAGGCAGTGGAGAACAGGGAATAAATGATCAGAAGAGGTTCAAGGCCTCACTCTAGGTCACACAAATCATTTCCGACCCAACCGACCTAGATTACTAGTTTGTGACACTATACCTTTGTACATTTTAGCCTCAGAATTTTACGTGGCATAAGTAAAGGAAAAACTGTAGTGTGTACTGGGTGTCAGCAATTACAGTAATTTTGGTAAGTGAACTTAGGTTTTGTAGAATAGACTCCGAGAAACCAGCATCACTGACTGACAGACTCCTCTCACAAGGGGAGGAGACGTGGACATTACCCAGTCCAACACCTTCCTTGCAGAGGTGTGGGAACTCAGGCAGGCGCACAGCATGTGTCTTCCCAAGTGTGGCCCTCTCAGGACCTCAGCTGGTTGATTCTTCACTTCGTG